CAACTCATCCTTCATCATTTTCAGTCACTGACATGATGATGAGCATTATAGTGTGGTGGCTTATAAACTTTACAAGTCCTAAAGTGATCCACCTTGTCTCAGGCTATGATTTAAAATAAGTTTATATTCACATTAGTGATATAAATCTGATGCAGAGTGGAAAACAGCCCTCTGGGAGTGACTGACCGCTCCCTTGTTTTGTTTATGTTCGATAGACTTTATAAAACAAAAGTGAGGATGCTGAATTCTTTTTGACTTTGTCAGGTCGCAAATAAAATCCCTGCAAAAACCAGGACAGCAGAGAGAACGCCTGCTGTGCTGTTGACATTTAGCTCCATTGTGTAGCGGTAAAAATAGATTTGAAAATGAACATTATTTGATATGACAGGGGTTGGAGTTGATGCTGTCAATCTAAAGTGAATGGAAACTGTAGAGTCACTGCTTGCCAAAATGTTTTTTTTTTCATAACTTCATGATTCATTCTTTCTCATCCATGTTATTGCGACACATTTCTTCCTGCCTGATTGAGTGATTGCTTGCCTGCTTGATTACATAAATGCCTTATGCATTAGCAGCGTTTGCGATGGTCTAAGAAATATGGACGAATGTAGCTCTTTCCAGCTCATTAGCTTCCCTCCATTACCATCAACTTTTGTTACTTTAATGGATTTACTGACAAAAAAAAACATCCTTCACACTGTAGCGCTGCACTGTAGCGAGAGAGACATGTTTGCTTGAACCCGTGACCTGTGTGTTGTGTGTGAGGGCGGACAACAGGACTGACAAATGGAATAGTTTTGCAAGAATTTCAGAAGCAGTGTATAAACAAGATTAAAAGAAAAAAGTTTGAGGTTAAAGGCCTTTGCACACTGTGTCCACATTGTTTTGGGAACAGGTTCTATTTTCTGTGGTTTTTTTCCCATAGACTGTAAATACTAATGATGATGCCTGAGTGATGTCACCCATCTGTTCGGGTTCGGCTTTGGAGTCCCATTGCTGACCCAAACTTTCAGTCAACCTAAAGACAGGCTAACTGCCAATTTCCTTATCTTTCATAAAATCAAAAAAACAGTGAGTTATCCAACTGTCCCCCGTACAGTGTGTGTCCATCGAGACATGAGCTAATCAGACCAATTTCACTTTTAGAACCAGGCTGTAAACATGATCATTTCTGCTTTGAAAACAGCACTTAAATGAGTGTGTATGTGACTTCCTGTGCTTCTGCAGCCAGCCTCTAGTGGACACTCGAGGAACTGCAGGATTTTTCACTTCCACATTGGATTAATTTCTCAACACCGAGGGGTTGCCCCTTTGTATTTTTTGCTTCCATCTGTGTCTATACTTCATACATACTGCCATCCAATGTTCAGGATCAATTGCAAGAGATGAAAACTCTCCTTGCTCGTTTCCTTTTGCCTGTTTCAAGGAGTTAAAGAACAACAAAGTCATTGCACATTTTTTTCAATCCGCACGCAGAGTCCAAGGTTTCTGTGGGTGATGTTTTTTAAAATTGGAACCAGGACTTTAAAAAACATGCAACTGCACACAGACTCAGTTTGCAATGACCTTAAGAGTCTCTGTGCTTCCCAGGATTAAATGAAAAAGTGCTCTGAGACATCAAGAGTGGGCGGGTTGTTTTTTTTTGCATTTAGTTGTGGGATCTTCAGTGTTTGTAACACTTTGAGACTGCCCTTCAACACCTCTCTGCCACCAAAAGACCCTGGACAGGTGATATAACCCCGCCCCCTTCATCTCACCTCAAGACTCCAGCCTGATTCCTACCCTGCATCTCAGTTCTCTTAAATGCTGTCTCCTCGCTCCTCGCTCCTCAGCCGAACCGGAAGTAGTTTTAGACCCGCCATGTTAAGTAACGTCCCAAAGCTCTTGTAACTGAACGAGGAGAGAGGATCGAGGAGCGAAGACCGAGGATACACGAGAGCTCGCTTTGCAGAAGTCTTTTTACAGAGGAAAGGACGGCTCATGTCTCTTAAAACATATCTCCTCATTTCCTCTCTCCTCTGCTTCGTTTCCTTGCATCTCTCCATGCATCTCTGGTGGGAGGGACTAAGATGCAAGTGGAGGAGGCAAGTGGAGGACACTTGGATGCAGGGGAACTGGGATGTACCCCTAGACTCCCATATCTGATATCTCCTCTCCTCAACTCTAAGTTATTCAAAGATAAACACACACACGCCTTTAATTTTCCATTCACAATTTATTTTCTTATATTCTTTTGTATTCATGCATTAGGAGGTTGGACTGGTTTAACGATTGAGGGACTTAAAGGTTTTGGACACTTGAACTTAAAATGGACTTCGTCTGACATGATATGTCAGGCATGATTTAATGAAAATGGATTTTTGTTGAACGAGCATCACTTGTTTTTCTGTGAAATGTGTTTTTTTCGTCCTGTAGTTATGTTGACAATGGGAGAAGATAAATGAATGTTGCTTTCATTTCCTTCTGTAGCATGGCTTTGTATTTAATCAAGGCCTCATTTGTATTACTTCTAGACTGACAAACTTATCTGTCCGTCTCTCGCCTCATTGTGTTTAACTATTTAACTGAATAATTGCAGACATTCAGTTTTGCTTCAACGTCTACATCCCTGATATGTTGTTTTCTGAGAACATCCAACAACCTAAAAAATCTATTGAGAAACTAATTTGGACTTAATTAGCATCCATCTGATAGTGCTGATGCAGGCCATGCAATATTGAATGCTAATGACTGTATTTTTCAGAGTGATGAATGTTTTGTTTACTTCACTTTAACCCAATTACTATAATCGAAGTAGAAACTGCATGTGCTACCTTTTCACTCCTTTCATGTTGGTCACATTTCTTAGAAAACCACTGTTGCAGTTTTTCTTCAAACAATGCAATCTGTTTGCAACATTGGAATAAATGGATTTGTATCTTTACCTGCAGTATTTTAGAAATCCATCCGCCTGGTTTTAAGGTAGTTTTCCCATCTGATTGACCAACATTGTATACATCCTTTCCTCGTTTGAATGAAAAGTCAACATATCATGTTTTGTGAATGAAGTCCAGCACTCCAGAAGAAATGTGACAAACAGAGCTGTTGCTACGGTGGCAGTTTGATTTATTAATGGTACTTTGCAGCAGTGATTCACAGAGGATGCAGTGATTAAGCAAACACCTTTGCATCAGCGGACATGAATCGAAATTCAAGGCAAAGCTTTCAATGGAAAAAAAATCAGAAACCCGTTTAGAAACAGTTATCTTGTGCGGGTGTTAGGTATGTGTGTAGAAATGCATTTCAAGTTTTAAAAAGGCAAAAATTAAATAAGGCAATATTGAAAATAGCAGTTTACCCACGTAAAAAGACTTTGTGAAATACTGTCACAGAGGGTGTGGTCGCTCTTTACATCACAGTGCAACATATTTAAGGCCAGGATTCAAAGCAACAAGTTACACAACGCGTACATAAAAATACATTCAGTAAAATCTGTTACGTAATCAAGATGAAAAATAGATCTCTTTAGTTTCACATGTTCATGCTGAGAGTGAGAACGACCCACGTGCGAATTCATACATATATCTACACATCTTCACAGGAGCTATGAGAAGAAGTAAACAGATTTAATGAGGCAGTGTGAACTGATGGTGATGTCATCAGGGCTGGTTTTAGAAAAATAAATGTGATTTTTGAGTTTTTCTCCAGGGTATAAATGTATTTTCTGCTTCTGCATCCCTGCTTTAAAAGGAAAGTCAGAGGGGAGGGTGTATAAACACTGCATCCGTCATGCAGGGCAGGATGGAGAATTGATAAAGTGGAGCAAGAATGTGGGAGTAGACACCATGAGAAGCATTGTTTGCCATTTGTAACTTGCTGCAAATAAATCAAATCTAACCAAGAAAGGTTGTTAAAGTGCCATCTTTAGTTGCCTTGGACATATTCTGACATATTCTTCCTTCATTTTCCCATTTTAATGCTGTCACTGTGTAGCGAGAGGATTTACTATGTCCTCCTCATTACTGTAAATGTGTAGCTTTATTACCTTGTTTAAAACCAGCCTCGGAATAACAACTGCGTCACCCATCAATTTAGATCCCAGCATGTAATACGATGCATCAGCAAATCCAAAAAACGACTCAAAAAAATAATAATAATGTAATTGTGGTACATTTTTTCTTTGTGCTCTTATCATTTAATTTCTTGAAGAATCTATGAGGCACTTTAATGCAGCTCAAACATCACATTGCAACACCCCTTTTCTGCAGTCCATTTGAAAGGCTGTTTCCACTTCCTTTATTTTACCATTACTTACAGTAGAAGATTGCCACCTTAGGAAAAAAAAAAGCAAATATCACATTTTAGTTGTAGATTTCCAAATACTGTTTTTTGCCTTTCAATTCAATAAGCACATTAGATATGTAAGAGAACTCAGTGATCATTTCTTATCCAAATATAAGTACACATTTTTTTTTACATTTGATTACATTACTTGAATTGCAAAACAATTCAGCTGCCAGTGTGCAAAAGAACCCAGCATGTTATGAGTTGGATTTTGCACTCAAACATGCAGGTAGTCCTCCATAATCGATATTAACCCCTTTTTCATATATCCAGTGTGTCATTCAGGGACTTTATGCACTGTGGCATTTCAGTTCTAGGATTGCAGCAGCTGTAGACATTCACGTGGCATGATCCAAAATGAGACGTGAAGATTAGCATATTTACATGTTGTTTTTTTCACAGTGAACAACATAACATGTTGTAGTCAGATTGATGTGATTTCAGTTTGAGAAACATAAATGTTTGTGCACGAGTATCCGTTAAAATTCATGCTGGTTACACCGACAAGAAATGGCACTTTAGACCGGTTTTGAACTACCAAACAAAATAGCATTTTTCTGCAAAGCAGTACTCTATCTTACAAGGGGGGTTTGTAAACCTACCTCTTCAGTAACCTGACTCATGAAATCACAGCACGTCTCTTAAACTGCTCGCTCTGAGGGTGAAACAGAGCCACATCGTTCTACAGTGATTACAGTTCAAAAACCTCAAAGTTCTCTTCCTGCCAAGTAACATTTTCTGAGTGGCGTTTCATGACACTTGAGATGCAGCTCACACACACAGGAGCGCGTGCGAGCAGCAGAAAATCTCCTTGAAGGTCTTCCTCATCTCCTGGCTGCGAAAGGCGTAGATGATGGGGTCGATGACGGAGTTGCACATGATGAGGATGAGGTACATGTTGAAGTGGGACATGAAGCAGGTGCAGTAGGGGTTCTTCGGGCAGGAGATCATGAGGATGAGGTGGAGGAAAAAGGGCGCCCAGCACACCACGAACACCCCGAGGAGGATGGTGAGGGTGATGGCGCCCTTCATGTTGGCCCGCTGGTGGATCGGTGCGTTCCCCGGGAGCGCCGCGATGCGCTTCATGTGGAGACGCGCCAGCAGGAACATGTGGACGTAGAGCGACGCCATGAGCACCAGCATGGTGAAAAACATGGTGATGAGGCAGATGAGCACGGTGGTGCTCTCCGAGTAGATGATGAAGAGGATGCCGGAGACGATGCAGCACGTCCAAATGCTGCTGATGACCAGGGTCGCTCGCCGCAGCGTGACGATGTTGTGATATCGGAGTGCGTAGAAAATAGTGATGTAGCGATCTATGGCGATGGCTAGCAGGCTGCAAATCGATGCTAACAGAGAGCTGCAGATCATGGAGTCAAACACATTGTCCATGCTTTTGATCAGCGCCACAGGGATCGTCAGGTTGCCTCCGTTTATGAGCGCGATCACGATCGTCTCCGAGGCGTTGGACGCACTCACAAGCATGTCAGCAACGGCGAGGCTGCAGATAAAGAAGTACATAGGCGAGTGCAGGTTCTTGTTTTTGACTATGGCAGCGACGACCATGATGTTCTCCAGCAGGCTGATGATTCCCAGAGTGAGGAAAACCTCGGTGGAAATCAGCAGCTGTTCGTAACATCCAGCAGACGAGTCCTTGTCCTCCAGTGGTGAGTCTTTGTTGAGCGTTAGAGTCCCAGAGGTGAGGCTCCGGTTCAGATAGCCTTGGATCAATCCATGAAAGTCAGAGGTGTTCATGATTTGCTTTTGTTTGATTCTCAACGCACGAGCTTCTCATTTATCATCATTTATCTGGAAAAAAAACCTCAAAAAACCTTGAGGAGGGAAGGAAAAGAAAAAGCCCTTGTTGGGCGTTCCTTCTTTCCCTTTTCAATCCTTTAGGCTGTCCGACAAAAGCTTCAAAGATGTGCTGCTGCTGCTGTTACTCTAAGGTCAAAAAAACAATCCCACTTTGTTCCTGTCATTTCTTTCCAATCTGAAGAAGGCAGGCAGGAAGTAAAAAGTTCAAATAAATAATGCTCCCTAGAAAAGCCCCCGGGGGGAAAGATAAAGTGGTAGCAGCAGGTATAGGAGCATGTGTGAGGATGGTGGATCAATAAACAGGGACGGATGAGGCAGAGAGAGAGTAGAGTGTGCTGAGCCAGTGCAGGCAGATCATCACATGGTGAGCGACTGTGGTCTTCCTCGCTCTCCCTCTCTCTGCTATTATACAGAGCATGCACACACACACACACACATCCCTGAACCCTCCCTCCTTCTGTCCTATCCACTCGCTGATAATGCGGGAGGAGGAGGAGCACAGATTCGCCTGACACCTAAATGAGCAAAAAAAAAAAAAAAAGATATATATTGGAGCAACTAATTACAGAATTTAACAGGATTTAATCTCAAAGCAATATTTAAAAAAAAATGATACATGAAGTATGATTAGAGATTTGTTAAAATCTTCTAGGCTTGTCAGAACATTCATGTATCCCTTCAGGTTAAGGTTACTTTTTTTGTACCCTTAGGTCAATTTGGTTGCAGGGAGAGTCACATTACACTTAATAAAACACAGACAATACATAAAACATACACAGTGCAAATGCACGGTATATGGGTAAAAGTTTGGAGGTGTATAAAGTGCACACGGTTCCAATCAGACAATTGATAAAACAAGTTGATCTGTAAAAGTTGCAGAGCCGAGAACAGTGAAATGGATAATAAATAAAACATTCAGAAGCATGACATCAGCTTCTCAGCCTCCCTTATATTTATTCCAACAGAGGCTCATGCCATTCTAACTTTTTCAACTGCATCATTTTGTTTATATCACAAGTTTTCCTTCTTTTAGCTTGATTTATTCTAAACTTTAAAGAACTGGATTGCAATGTTTTTTTTAAACATTTTCGATACCAAGACAGCCTTTTATTAACCGACTTCACATATATTAATTGATACATGCGAGTAAAACGGTGGATTTGAGTAGGAAACATCAGGAGAGGGAGCGGGCAATGACATGCTGGAAAGGAGCCGCAGGTTGAATTTGAACCTGGGCCGCCTGCTTGGATGGCGGTAGTCTCTGTATATGGGTCGCAATGTAACCGCTAGGCCATTTGCGCCCCACTGCTCCCACTGCTACATTCTTAGAGAAATGTATGGCGGCCCTTACTGTAAGTGATGATTGAGTGGAATTACTTTTGTAAAGGCCAATATTTATTTTTTTAGGAAAAAGCTACTGACTTCACCTTAACATTTTCAGGGAAGGGAAATTTGTGTCCCTGTAGACAAGTCTGAATATTTAACTATTTAACCAATCATCCATCTTTGACCTTGACATGTCACATCGATCTGTTTTTTTTTATGTTTATGTGATTCTGATATCAGCGACTTGTTTAATATGCTTACAAAGTTTCTCCTGTCTAGTTGATCGATATCACCGGGCTCACAAACTTGGATCAACAATCAGCGACATCAGTGTCTAATATCAAATCAATATCAAGCCCTTATCAACATGCCACAACACAACCAGCTGCCTCTAGAGAACTATTCAAAGGACGTCAGTGTTAATCAGATGGATAACATTCAGTTAAAGGACAATCACTCCAATGGGACCAGACACTAGTGCAGGCAGACGCAGGGGAACAATTAAAATCCCCATGTGGTAATTACTACTATGGCTGTACTTTTGTTAATTACGCTGTAATGATTGATGAAAAGATGATTGTCGTCAGAGCCACAAAATAAAACATAAATACACAAAAGTTATAACTACGCACTTTGTATTTGTAGGAATTATTGTGTAATAAGTCAAACAAATCCATTAGGAATGATGTTGTTGTTATTTTCTGACAAGTTTCCTTCCAGGAATTTATGTTAACAATGTTGCAGTTTTCTAACCATCATTTACATGTATAAACGATGGGATAATTACATACACCATGCTCTACACCCCTCGTTTAATCATCAATAAATAAATACAATTGTTGGAACAGAGAAATGGAACCTGTTGCAGTTCTAAAACAACCTTTAGGAATTAAACATTAAAATGCAGGACTTATTGATGGTGATTTGGACTTTAAAGTTCACATATCCTCCTCCTTTTCAACCAGTTTAAATAAGTCTCAGAGCTCCCCAAAACATGTCTATGAAGTTTCTTGTTCTAAGTCCACTCTGATCCTGTATTTGATCATGTCTATAAACCCCTCTATTTCAGCCCTGCTCAGAACAGGCTGTTTCTGTGTCTGTACCTTTAAATATGTAAGTGAGCTGTGTCTGACCACGAAGGGCTCTCTGGAAGGGCTTGGGTGTCTCGGTGCTTTCTCGTTCCATGTCCTATTGTTTACGGTGAGAAGGCAGACTCAGAGGGCAGAACAAACACCTAGCTGTGGGAGTGTCACCCACCTGGGGGAGGGGCTACTGCCCTTTGTGATGTCATGATGGGAAAATCTCCAAACGGCCTATTTGAGCACACATTTTCTGAAAAGTGGAGCAGACAAAAGACGGAGAGGATGGACTTTTTTGATAATTTGGGGGTTTGTAGATGGACTAGGGACACATGTTAGAATTAGAGAAACATGGTAAAGTGTATACAGTGCCAAATCAAAACAAAAAAGTAATCTCATGACACTTTACATGAAACACAGGGCCTGTAGTCACAAACCTTCTGAGAATATATCTCAGAATGTTTGTGGACTACGGGCCCATGACTTTTCTGTAGCTGTCTAGCTCAGACTAAATTATGTTTGCCTCTGAGAATACTGTGGACGATTGCAATTTTCTTTTAATGCCTTCCCTACTTATACCACTCACAGAGCATAGCCAATTCAAAACACAGCTGATGGATATAATCAAAGGTCATCATCCCATTCCAAGCACCACTAGTTTCAAAACTTTAAAGTCATCCTAGAGTATATATCTCTCTGACTTCAAGTCTGGGGACGCTTAGATAAACTTTGGTAATCCTGAAATTGGTTGGGGTTTAGGTTGTCTGCAAACAGCTGGTTTAGCCACCAAGATGTGTCAGCCAAAAATCCCCAAAATACAGCTCCTTCTAAAAGACCTTTGTCTACAAATGAAACCATCCGATCTTACATAAAGGTACATCAGATACACTTTTATAGCAGCCTTTTGCAATTGCAAAAGATAACCCATGATTCCCTGCTATAGCCTTGACGTCATCTTTAGTTATTGTAGTATTGATTGAGAGCCCCCTGGTGGCAGAATCTACATATTGTATCTTTAATAATACTAACTGGACTTTTTAAATTCTTACACCTACACACACAGTTGAGTGGCCTTGAATGCAGCTTGCATGAGTACTAAAGGCGGAAAAATAACAGAGAAAACTATCTAAGGTTGTGATGTTGTTGAATATCAGCTAACTGGTTATTTACTTTTTAGTCTACTGGAACCGGTTATGTTTTGGTTTTTGCTTCTAAATGGCCTACATGACTTTACCGTTATATCGCAGCCTGTTGACTTGGCATGCTATTGAAAGCATGCAACAGTGTGTTTTTTGTGTTTTCATGTGGACACAGATGTTTTTTTTAGAATTTAGCGTATGTGGGTGGGATTATTTTTCTAAACCGAGAAGGCAAACCTCAGAAGAAAAAGAAAAAAACCTACATTGGGAGCAGGCCTAAATCAAGGTGGCACCGATTACAGAGCTCCTCTCTCACTGGCCCAAGAAAACTAAAAAGGTAAAAGGGAAAAGCATGTGTGTGAGATAAACAGACTTGTTGGTGTTTGATTCATTTTTAGGAGGAGGCTTTAAGGAGAACCATTATTTCTTAACGGTTAATTCATTCTATTTTGGCAGCAGAGGACCTTTGATTAATGACTTGAATTAATTCTGTGGTTTTCTTATTTTTCGGGGCCTGGATAAACTTCCACTACAACTGAGAAATCTGTAACCTGGTTGCCTATTCTTATCACTTGCACTGCCTTCCATCCAGATAATAAACAAAGAACATTTTTTAATCACTCTAGTAAAATCTCATTTTTAATTCTCAAGTCTGCTGTTTCAGGCACTTCTTCTCTCTCTCTCTCTCTCTGCAGCACACTCTCTGATAGTAGATTGACAAGACTGTTGTATTTGTCGCCTTGTGAGACGGAGCTGCTTAAAATACATTATGAAAACAAGCAGAGGATGTTTGCGACTCTGATTGAATAAACAGAACTGCAAACCAAACCGAAGAGAGCTTTCACAGCAGCCTTTACTGATTACTTAACTAACTTAATAAACTAAATCTTTAGAGTGCATTGGTTGATTTAAAGATAATGTTGTGAGTCATGCTCAGTGTTATAAAACAACACATTTTCAACTTCAACTTGGAATATTTACTACATTGTAAGATGATTTATTTTCTGTGTAATCACGTCATATAACTACAACTGCATCGTTGGTGGCGACCAGCCTGGACTACCCCCCCCCCCCCCCCCCCCAGTTCTCTACTGAGTGTCTAACTAATGCATCATCCTCCAACAATATAATCACCAAAGGAAACAGTCAAGGCTGTTTTCCTAGACGATGAAATATCTCATAAAGCAGTTACCATGGTAAAGGTATGGAGCCACAAGTTGAAATAACAAAGAAGAAAACGTCTCCAAATCCTTCTTCCATGTATCGCCTTCCGTATGCAGCACTTTTTCTTTCGTCTATTGCAGATTAAAATAAACTGTATTCATGTTTGAATTTTTCATTGAGAGCACCAACAAAAAGGGGAAAGGAACTTTCACCTATGAATCATCTGTCCTCCTTTTCCGGGGGCTTCTGGCTCATACAGCAGTTTTAATTTGCTAATTGTATATGTGTCCAGTTTGTTTGTAAAATTGTTTGAGTTATTTTGTATGATGATCAGTAGACTGTCCTTTGAGGTGTCCTGATATTGTAAATTTGATTTTCATCAGTACATGCCTTAAGACTACGGATGATATTTAGCTTTTTTGTGACTTCCAGCATATTTTCAAAGATGCTATTTGCTGATATGTTGATTAATCTTCACTGTCCTAATTCAATAAATCAATTAAATGATAAACAATAAACGTAGAACTTTTTAATATACAAGCAATTGCTTTGTTGTTTTTAGACACACAAGAACTAGTGACTACGTACATTCACCATTCATCTTTTTCTTCTGCTCTCAAAATAGAAATAAAACCTTCACACATCA